GTGCTCTAAATTGGAGGTTCTGAAAATAAGACGTACGTTCACTATTTCAGTAAGACTGAGTGGAGTCCAACTCAGTCTGCAATCATACATGTGTTTAACAAAATCAGACAACTGTGTAGCGGGAGTCCGATTTGTTTAATCACGAGTACAGCAGTACAACACTGTATGATTACTGACTGAATTAGAGGACATGAAGTTCTGTTAGACTAATAATTAATAATAAAAAATTATTAATCATAACTTTTGCAAAAGGAAAGAAAATAAGAGAAAAGGTCAACACATGGACAGTTGTATATATGAGCCAGTGCTTTTGTATAAATTATGACTACATAAACTCATTGCTTGTTGATATAAACCTTTCAGTCTTAATCGCAACCTAGTGTTCAGGTATATCACTCGACTTGCTGTATCGCAAATTATTTTATTTATCCCACATTTCTTTGTAAAATTTTAATTGTTTTCTGTTGGAATTTTTTCTAAGTGTCCACTGCTACCGCGCGTGCGTGAAATTAAATTCTGGTCATGTTCACGATGTATGTTATCATGTCTGAAACTTTCGTGAACATTGATTCACTGCAATACCTTTAAATTTCAAGACGAACCTAACCTACAAACCGATCAAAAATCCGCGTTACAACATTCACTGTTTTGACGTTATGCTAACGGTTTCCAAATTAATGCCCACCATACATACCTCCATGATAAGTACATTTCAGTGAGGGGACTTTAAGGAGTTAAAATCCACGAGATTTTCCGGAGGAGCATGCCCCCTCGGCGCTCGTTTAGGAAATCGGTCCAGTCAACCTAGATCCGCGCCTGCATCCAATGATCTTTTTTTAATAAACACATTTTTGTGGTACCGTTTTTGTTTTGTCCACTTTAGTAACTGGCAGGGCTCGAACTTAACTTTTGAACTTACTAGTCAAATGGCGAGTGCATGCTTGGGCTTTACTAGCCATAAACGTGTTTCTACTAGTCTAGGCACTTCTGTACAGCATAAAATAAAAAAAGTCAGAAATCCTGTTGTTATCAAACGTTAATAAAAACTGCAACATAAGAAAAAATTTAAATGCATCTTGTTTTGTATGTTTAGTTACAATACAATAATAAATTTTACTGAACTATACAAACAAGAACCCAACAGCACTTGTTCTGGTCTGCAGTTTAAAGTCCAGCAGCCAGCACCTGCACGATGCATAGTAGTAGTGCTGACACTACAGACAGTATAATAAATCAGTTCATAAGTTCTTTCCTGACATCACAAGAAATTGAAATGATGATCAATTTCATTGAACGCTTCAATGATTAGTCCTTCAGTGTAGGTCGTCTGCTCCATTCTGACTCCTCCAACCAGCGCCCAACTGCAAGAACTGCACTATAGTCCTGCACTATGAGTCACTGCAAGTTGTATTGTCTCTATCCAATTGGAACACTTGGTTTGCTTCAACATCGTATGTGAGCCATGAAACGTCTTTCAGCCAGGTCCGTACAAATTTTCTTTTTGATGAAGATTTACATGTAGACGTGCTGCCTTCAGCAGAATCATCGCTTGCTCTCTTTAGACCTTTAGTTGTTTTATTTGACAATCAGGATGGCGGACATTTGTTTTTTGGCTAGCTTTGCATCATGGGTACGGTTTGGCCTATGCTCCCTGGTCATAAAAATTTCAAGATGGCAGCGAATAAACGCGAAACTGAAAACCGAATTAACAAATATTATTATTATGTAGAATTACTTTTCTTTCTTTTATTCATGCCAGTTGTTAATAGGGGAAAGAAATAAGAGGTTACTAGAAGGTGCGGATCAACTGGGAAAATGTTGAAAACATTTCAAGGCTTTACGTTGTTTACAGGGGCGAAAATTAACTAACCAAGATGGCTAGTAAATGAGCTAAATCCACTAGCCAAACATCAAAATCTACTGTTATTTTGCTAGTAGGCCACCGCCAAGTTCGAGCCCTGGATTTAATCTCATCAGAAACACATTCTTCAGAAGCCACAGACCACGAGCAACTGGACTTCGAGGTAGGTTAGCTTCAAAATCGGTGGGAATTAAAAAATGACTCACCTTAGGAGATTGCCAGTACAAAAACATGGACACTTGACCGTTGATCGAGCAAGACTGAAACGTACACTACGTAGACCACGGAACAAATTTAAAAGTCAGCGGATTTACGGTGCATTCGTGCCCAGGGCGCGATCGGCGCGATCACGATGAACCGTCTTCTCGTCGTTCAGAGACATTTGTCACATCAACCTAATATTAACTTTGATTCTTCCTGGACTGTTTTTTGCTAGTAAATAATCAAAAGCCGAATTGAAATGTGCCTTACCTTTCAAAAAGTTTAAAAAGCAGGGACAGACCTAGCCTGTGTACAAACCTCTCCTCCCCTCAGTAAAAATCGGAGAAGGTATGGAGGGGGGATCTCTACACAGGCTAGGACAGACCCACGACACATGAGTGAATAAAAGTTGACAACTGATACCTATAAAAATCTGTCAACGCTGTTATAAATCTCGTATTTCCGCCAGTTAAAGACAATCAAGATTGTTTTTAATTTTTCGTTTCATTAATATTAAAGTTTTTGTCAAAAGGAACTATACCTAATGAGATTGAAAATATGTAGCTGTAATCATTCTTTCTTGAAACAAAAATTCTCAGCCGAGAATATAATGGTTTGGTAAGAAGAATCCTCACTCTTATCACAAGGATTCTCGTCCTTCTTCTGTGATTTCTGAAATGGTTAATCTCCAGACAAAGGGAAGGAAGTTGACCCGATTCAGCGTTACTAACCGTTAACTGAAATCGACTCTGTCCGATCGGGTTTACGAGAAGAGAGCCAAAGTCAACGTATTCTTGATTCCAAATTTTTGCGCGGATCTTTTTAGAAACACGCGCGTCGAGTGAAAGATTGGATGAGATAAAGGGATCTGACGGCTCACCTTGTGAGACTGCTGGCTGGGTGGTCAAATGAGACGCTTGCACGGCACTTTCCAGAAGAGGAAGGGAATGACTCGGGAGACATGGAGGAGTGGAAGGGATTGTAGACTGTAGTGCAGTCAAAGAAGGCTGATTTTCTTGCCAAAGGTGTTGGGTTACAGCATCAGCTAGGCGGGAAATTAGATCATTGTTGAACGACGGAGAGGATGTGGACAGGTCAACTGAAGTGACTGCACTCTGAACTGACGGAAAAATAGTGGGTTGACTGGGTTGCTGATTTCGCCGCGGCCGTTTGGAGGTGGCGCTCGTCGTTGCCTCGCCCTGGGAGCGTTTGCGTTGCAGTCTAGCCGATGCTCGAGGCATAGTGAACTTAGAAAAATAGAGAAACGGCAGACAAATGACACAAAAAAGGGGGAGGACTTTAATAACATGAACGATGGACGGCATTTAAGACTAAAGGAAACAAGGGAGCAAGCCATGTCAGACACAAATGTGGACGCAATTGTTGGCAAGTCCCAACAAAACAAAATGGGGCGACCCCCAAGGGCCAACACCCCAAGTATTAACGTGAACAAGGACGAAGGTTAGCGACTGGTCAAAAAGTATGGGGGGGGTGTGCCGGAGCATTTGGAAATGTGGTTGATAAAAAATACATGGCCCACCCCCTCCCTTCGGCACAAAAATGACTGACCCACCCCTAAAGCAAGGTTGGAGATTGCATGACCCACCCCTAGTTAAAACATGGACGTTAGGTTTCCTCTTAATAATCCAATAAAACCTTGTTCTGTGCTTGACAAAATTTGTTAATACACAGCTACAACCAATATCAAAATCACAGAAATCACACCTTTTACTGAAAAGACAAATGTGAAAAACCAAACATTTCTTGTTTCAATGTATGTTTTGAGTCTTGACACAAATATACAGCAAAATGAGGGTATATTGAAATTATCTGTCACAAATCTTTCAGGGGCACCCAACGTCAATTTTCGGAAAATATCTCTTCGAAAGACGATTTGAGATCTAGAATTTTCGGAACATTTGTTGTAAAATTTCTTGCTTATCTGTCCCTCCTAGGATTTTCGAACATCTAAAAAATGGTATAATTGCCCATTTTCAACGGATTTTTACCCTAAAAAGGTCACCTAGAATTTTCGGGAGCCTTTTTTCTGGCTGAAATTTTCGAAAAGGTAAGTTTTGATCCCTATAATTTTCGTATCACTAGACTTTCAGCTAGGAGATCCGAACAGATGAAAAATTTTTAGGGGATAAAAATATGCCTATATCTACTGTTTAAATACTAAAATACGTTTAACAATGCTATGTTTAAGTGGTTTTGAACTATATTCTCGTTGTGTGCCCCCTATCTTTGATAGAAAACCTACTGTCAGAAATAAAATTCACAAAAGGGAGTCTAAACTCCCAAAACAAAACAGCAAGGAGGAAAAAGAAATAATTATTGTCATTCGTGACACAATACCAGCCCTCAGTGTCTACTATAAAGGAAGCTTGAATGAAAAAATGGAATCTTAGACAAAACCAACTATAACTTCAATAAATTTTTAAAGAACCACCAATCGTTTCCTTACAAAAAAGGAAAATCGTTAAAGGACGTGCTCGTTAGAGCCGACAAAAAAAGGGTTAACAGAGAGTTCCACGCCCGTATAGATGTGCGGCCTGTCAACCTTTGTATTTTCTCGTACAACAGGTTTGTGAGTATTTTAGCAATAATTCCAGCTGGATGTGTTTTATATAACAAGTGTAGTCAACTGTCTCGTTAGTAGTTAGTAAAAAATAGGGTGACCCACCCCTTAAGGGTAGCTGAAAATTGCACGACCCACCCCTTTCACAAGGCTCAAAACCTCATGACCCACCCCCTCTCTGCTCCGGCCCACCCCCGCCTATACTTTTTGACCAGTCCCTTAAAACAAACCACACGTCCAAGGAGAACAAGAAGGACAAACGTCCTTCAGCAAACAAGATAAAATGTAAAACAAAAATTGCCATGAGCAAAGGTGAACAAATAAAAACCAGACATCTGACATCATCAGCCAAACAGATCATAAGTAGCTTAATGCCGTTAATATAGCACCACGATAACTGCGGTACAACAAGTACTGGCCTCTAGCATTAAGATGGACTCTATCCCTTAAATAAAAGTCTTGGTCTGGTCGCGTAAACGCCTTGTGGCGCCAACAGAAGACACAATCTAAAGAATCGAGCACAACCTCAAGGTATTGTTGAAGAACCTTGTCGCGCTCCCAGAAATACAGAGGACGTATCGTAGATTCGCCTCGTGGGATAACGTGGCAAACGCAGACAACCGCCACAGAATAAATAGATTTTAAAGTGACTACAAGGTCCTCGATGACTTCAGGAGCGACCGAGGGCAGATCATTTGTACCGACTTCTAAAATTACAATATCAGGCATAAGTTGGCGAACTACATGCAAATCGTAAGACTGCAATTTGCCAACAGTACGGCCGCCAGTCCCCTGTAAATGAACTTCAGCGGTGCCAACAAGACCAAAGGTCCTGGAGGCCTGGTGATCGAAGTTTTTATCAAGATCATTTTTGAGCCTGTTAACGAACGAATGACCAAGAACGAGGACCTTGGGAATGCTACCAGCCAAATCTCACAGTAATGTTAAGTACGTAAAAAAGGGGAGGAGTCCAAACCAAAACGAAGACAACTATAAAATGGAAGCTACAAAGCAAGAAACAAACAACGTACCTGAAAGACTTGGAAAGTGGCAATTGTGAACTGCACTTGTCGGACGTCAAGTCAGAATGGGAGTGGAGCGATAGCCGAATAGGTCTAAAAACGTGGCCCACCTTAGTGGCCTGATTGGGCGTTGCCCAAATAAAATGTGCGATAAAGTCTATATGGAATAATTATCGTTATCTGAGGTTATACTTATGGCTTATTCTTACATAAGAGATAAGACGCAACGTGACAAGTGAAGCTTATGATAGTACATGTGAATCGGCATGAAACATAAAAATCCTATTTGTGCCAAATATTCAATTTATCAATCTGTACAACCAGTGTGTTTATACACATTTTCCATGACCCATAGTCAGCGTAGACAATTCAGTGTGGCTTCATCGCCTAATGCAATCTATCAGTACAGCAATAGAAACATCCACCTACCCAACTAAACAGGCTGTTTCCAAATGGCCAGAACTGAGATCGAAGTAAACCTTCTTTTTTGTACTGATGCGCTCACCAAAAAAAAACAAAACAAAACAGAAAATAAAATTACGGTAGTTAATGAGTTAGCCTGGGACCACGGGCTCCACATGGGGGGAAAGGGCGAAAACATTGATCCCGTTTCTTGCCTTTTTCCGCACTGCGGAGCCCGATCCGAGGTTATTAATGGGTAAGTCAAGAACCTTAAACATCAAAGCTGCCTATTGCAAGAAGACAAGTCTTATACATTGTATAACGTTTTAATATTTTAATAATGAAAACAAGAAACTCGTAGAAAAAATTAGGGCGGGATCGGGATTCGGACGTAAAAGCAGGCGGGATAGCGGGATTAAGAAGAAAAAACAAGCGAGAAGGCAGGATTTGAGAACCCTATAGTGGACCCTCTATTCAATGCAAAGAACTGGACTCGATCTTGTTACGTCACAGGATAAAAAAATTTCCGGATTTAGCGTCCGCACGATTCCAGATTCATAGCGTTTTCAAAAATTTCTACTCTTCAAAAAGTTGCGGATCCGTATGACGGATTCACCGGATACGAGTGAACGGAAGCCGTATCCGGAAAGAAACAGTTGCAGATTCAAAACTATCCGGATACGTGTGGACGCGGCCTGAAATACTTAGACAATACTTCATGGAAAGTGCGGGAGTACGGTATTTACGCACGAGTTGTTGACGTATAAGAAATCGAAAGAGTAAGTACAGCGAACGAGCTTGAGAGTGAGGTTTCCAATACAAAAAACGAGTACGAAGCACTTTCCATGTTGAATTGTGTTTATTACATACTGACATCATTTTGGCGGCCTTTTCATTTCAAATCTTTCCAAATTCTGAAAATTGTCGTTACACACACACACGCCGCGAAATGAAAACGAAATGGAAGTATTAGCTTATTAGTAAAAACTTTCATGAAAAATATAATGAAGGTAAGGATATGAGGTAATCCAAGAACTACAAGTGATCTTAACTGTTTGTTCTAAATGCACAATTGAAAATGAATGAATTTATTGAAGTCTTAAGTAATAAAGAAAAAAACGTAACTCCGATAAAAAGCACAGCTTACGTCTCGCTCTGTGTTTCCACTTCCGCTGTTGATTTGCCGGCTCTCTACAGTTTTCTTCAGCGACAGTGAAACAAACGAAACTATTCCACTCCAATTTCCGAGATGTTTCTTACTTTTATTACGAGAAAAACTATTTGAGAAAAACGTTTCCCTTTGAATGTCTGCGAAGCGACGCTGCAAGCTGCAAGAGCATATATAAGGCGGGAACTTTGGCGCGAAACTTACAAATCTCTGTGGCTTCTGATTGGACGTACCACTATTCTTACACCTGAATAAACACCGTTCGCAATTCTTATTGGACGTATCATTTTTTCTCGTGTGAAAATCCTCGCGCAATAGCATATTTCCAACGAGATTCAACTAGGCCTTTAAGCTGCAGTTTAAATTTGCGAAACCTTCTATAGAGCGCCAAATTATGGGGCGCAAAATGTATTTTTATTAATTAGAGTGGTTATTTGTATATAACCAAAACAAGGCTGGTTATTTACAAATAACCACATTACAGTTTTATTATTTCTAAATAACCAAAATATAAAATTGGTTATTTACAAATAACCAAAACTGAAATTTGGTTATTGAGCAAAAACCCCAAAATTAAAAAGTGGTTATTTCTAAATAACCAAATGCGAGATTGGATATTTATCAAATAACCAAAATGCGAAATTGGTTATTTATTAAATAACCAAAATGCGAGATTGGTTATTTATTAAATAACCAAAATGCGAAATTGGTTATTTATTAAATAACCAAAATGCAGGCAGAATGGAAAATTAATTGTTTATAAACAAACTGGACAGTTGGTTATTTATTAAATAAAACATGGACGATTAAAAATCCAAGACTGTGCAAAAAAGGTTATTTAATACAGAAATGGTTATTTACCTAATTTGGCCTGAGCAAGTTGCCACGTGGCCCATTTTCCCGCTCAGTTCCCATAACGACTTGCAGACTTCTATTTCCAACATGGCTTCTTCCAAACACATAGCGCGGTTAAATGCAGAAATGGCTCCGAGCTGCTTTGAAGATAGCTACTGACCGATCCAAATCTGATACATGCCACTAGAGAATGTTCACAGTCCCTATCTTTCCGTAAGATCGTCGAGATCGGGCACTTTGCGTTACGGGCTGCCATCTTGGATGAGTGTCAAAACTACTCAGGGGGCAGGGGGCGGTGTGGGTGGAAGCGAGAAAAATAGTCCCTGAGTAGTTTTGACGCTCATCCAAGATGGCTGCCCGTAACGCAAAGCCTATTGCGACAGGATTCTCTAATCATCCTGACATTGTGGAATTCTTGGTCAAGCCAATCTTTGCCCAAAGAGATCTCAGGAGCAGGAAAGTAACATTTTCCTGCGTATCAGTTTACTGAAAATATCCCGAGGAAAACGCTGGAATAGGATTTCCGAGACCCTAAATATAAAAAAATTTCCGGGGAGCATGCCCCCAGATCCCACTAAGTTGGGTCGCCTTCAGCGCTACAGCTTTCCTCCCTACTTGCGTGCGAAAGGTTTATTAAAGAATACATCATTGTGGGAGCTCTAAAGTGGAACGAATTATTATAGAAATTATGATAACTCGAAAGAACAGACGGGAGCCAATGTTAATTGTCCAGTCAGCAAAAATGATATGACCAATAAAATTGTAAAAAGAAATCGAAGAGAGAGACACTTTATTTGGTATTTCATTCAGTTTTTAGCAAGTACAGAATTGAATCCAGGGATCAAAAGATTTTCACGGGATCAGGGATCAGGATTTGCAACAATTTTGGATCAGGTATCAAACTTTTATGGCCAAAATGTGAGATCAGTCGGGAAAATATATACCTTGTTAAGACCCTCTTGTATAACAAAACTGTGTAAAATACGATACGTTTCACGGAAATGCAAAATTATTTTTTAATAGGTGTAATGTCTGAAGATTAAAGGACAAGGGAACAAATTAGTCAGAAATGAATAATGTGACGGCACGACAATTCGTTGGATAATCTCTGGACTATCATGAAAACGGAAGTAGATGACGGTAGGCCTATGTAAGTAGATGAATATTAATGACGAAGGATGAGTGTGGATGAAGGTAAATGAATTAGAATGAAGGTGAATTAAAATTAATGAAGGTGAATGAAGATTAATAAAAGCGAATGAAGGTGTGCGGAGGAAAATGAAAGTAAATGAAGGAAAATGAGGGTAGAAGAAGGTAAATGAAAAAGAAAAGAGGAAAGTGAAGGAAGTGGAAGAAGCCATGTTGGAAATAGAAGTCTGCAAGTCGTTATGGAAAATGAGCGGGAAAATGGGCCACGTGGCCACTTGCTAAGACCAAATTAGGTAAATAACCATTTTTACACGTTTTTGGATTTTTAATCGTCCATGTTTGTTTATTTGCTAAATAACAAATTGTCCAGTTTGTTTATAAATAACCGATTTTCCATTTTCCCTGCATTTTGGTTATATAATAAAAAACCAATTTCGCATTTTGGTCATTTAATAAATAACCAATTTCGCATTTTGGTTATTTAATAAATAACCAATCTCGCATTTTGGTTATTTAATAAATAACCACTTTTTAATTTTTCGTTATTTGCTAGATAACCAAATTTCACTTTTGGTTATGTTTTGGTTATTTAGAAATAATAAAACTGTAATGTGGTTATTTGTAAATAACCAACATTGTTTTGGTTATATACAAATAACCACTCTAAATAATAAAAATACATTTGATGCCCCGTAAAGTTCACCTTTTTGCACATGTTGGTTGGTTTATAGGTGCATAGACAATGGAATTTCTCTTTTTTACAGAAATATAAAAAGTATTAAAAGTCCTTTTTCGCAAAGGTTTGTTGGAAATATAAAACCCTTGATAATTAACTAAGTCTATGTTTACACTATGTTGGATAGCTTTTCACTAACTAAGTTCAAAATTTGAAAAAGATGGTTAATTTGAGCAGTTTGTGCAAGTTTAGCTTTCTGCAATCAACAACAAAGGAAATAGCAGCCATCAAATACTGCCAAATGGTTGGTTGGCAAAACGTTCATGAGCTCATACATTCTTTGTGTATTCGGTTTATCGGGCTCAAATTTTCAGTGATAACTGAAACTGGTGCTAGTTTTTAAAAAAATTGACCAGCCTCTCTACCAATCCACATTTCATTTCCTTTGTTCCATGTT